TTCATCTCCTCCCAGCTATCACAGGCCCTCTTTGGTAAGTGGAGGATTATGATACTTTAGGAAAATAATGTATATATCTGCATGTGGCTGCAATAATGATGGATTTTCCTCCCAACCAAAGTAACTGTGATTGATGCAGCTGGTGCAACCTATAACGAATGCTAAGGTTAATTGGAGCCAAGGGCACAGCAGTCCTTAAGTAACGTTATTGTGTGGTGCACTCATGTGCTGTCATTAATTTTCCTATTTGTTTGACTTTACAAAAACACATAGAACAAATCTGAAAAGAAAGGAAAAAAGATCTCAATTATACCTCTTAGTACTGAGGATGAGGAGGAGCTGAATCACCAAAGTGCTTGATGACATTCTGCTTTTGTAGCTCATAACGCCTCCAGGTAACTGGAGAGCATACTGTGCAGTGGCATTTGCTACATCTGTGCTTTTCTGTCTCTTCTAGCTGGTGCATTAAAAGATTGGGCATCATAACACTTGCAGGCCACAGGTATTTTATTACAACACAGTTCAACCTGAGTCAGAATTTGAACACCTGGGACAAGCACTGAAAAAAATATATGGAACATAGGTTTAAAGCCATGTTGCTGCATGAGAGCAAACATGTGGGAGATGTAGTCTGGAATCACTTTGAAGGTGGCTGGCTTTGGGTGCTGTGGAGGGGTGGTCAAAGATCCAAATGGGCTGAAGTGGGGCTAATCTGCCTTCCACATGATTCACTACAGCTAGCAACTGCTTTGAGCTCTGAGAATTTATGATCTTTACCTCTTGGAGCAATCTATTTCACAACTGTTTCTGTCTGTACACATCTCCAGTTCCCTTTTGGATGTTACTGAAGCTGGGCTTAGCAGGATTATGCACTGCAGTGTCCCCTGCAGTACAACAGCTTCATGTTGCATGAAAAAACATTTCCTCTCCTTTGTGTTTATTCATGCTGGGGCTGGACCACAAAGCCTTGTGTTGTGGGATGTACTATAAAGCAGCCATAGCAGGGAGCAGGAGGTAGCAGGAATTACAACAGTGACGTGAATGAGAACTGATAAATCACTTGACAAATGATGTTTGTCTCTGCTGATTCCACACGGTAGCACAAATACCCGAGACAAGTCCATAAAACATGTGAAACATTGTATACTTGTCAGAATAATCCAAACAAAAGCCCACCATCCTACTCCTTCCCCTCCCAAAAAACAATGCTGTATAGGATCTTTTGCTCCATCACAGAAGCCAACAAGTCAGAAATGATTCATATTCTCGTGCAAAATAGATTTTTATAAGATTTTGTTTGAATGAATGATGACTGTCAGAATACTGTTATATTAGGGTGTGAACAAAGAGAGATTTCAGTGTAATATAATACCAAGCATGTAAACTGAGTTAATATCACAGATAAAATTAGATCCCCGTTACCTATCTGTAGTGATATCTTCCGACACCTTTGCAAGATTTCAGGGTGAACAATAATATGCCAGGTGCAAAACCTTCTCCCCAGTTCATTCCATGATAACAGACTAATAATGGTGTTTGGCCACCAAAAAGAAAATATGCATCAGGAATAGTGGCAGGTGTATCTGTGCTGCCTACATGTAACTCTGTGCATGCTTGTTCGCACTTGCACCCTTGCAGCATATTGCATGAGGGAAAAGAGGAGGTGGGAGCAGGGGTAAGATTTTTGCATGTTACAAATACCGATACAAGGATTTGGGTGATTTTATTTAGTTTTATTTTTATTTTGTCTTTGCCAAAGACCTTCCGGCTGCTGTATTTCCTACATGAGAAGACTTCAAGATCCTTCCTTTGCTACCACTTATCTTAACAGCTATGTGCAGCCCGATGAGACTGTTTTCTTGGATGTATTGGTGCACTTAAACATGTATTGTGATGTGCCTTTTTTCGTTTTTGGCTCAGCTGCAGCACAGAACTGTGGATATACTGGGAAATGAGGACATAGAGTTTTCCAGACTGCTGAAAACAACTCAGCTTCTGAAGAAAAGCAATTATTATTGCTTTTGGATTACTCTTTTCTTGGGAAACATAGTGCCCTGCCACTGTATCCAGTATTGCACTAGAATCTATTGGGTGAGCAGTAACCTGTAATTGTCAATCTAAAATCTAACTAATAAGCAATTGAAAAACTAGGGGGTGTGGGGGCAGCAAGTAAAACTCAAGCTCCTGAAAATAGTTCACGAATATATTTCACATTCAGGTTAATTATTCATTGAAAAAATCCAGATTGACTGACAGGATCACAGTCCTTTTTAGCGGTTCCTAAAATACAGTCAGGATATTAACTCTGCCCATGGTGGTTTTTCTTTTTTAAATGGAAATGTAATTAGAAAGTAGGAAAAAACATTGGTCCAATTTGAGACAATGTTCTTCAGTTGTTATTTTAATGCAATAGAAAGCTGGTACTGCAGTGCCTTAAAAGCTTGTATTTTATAGGGGAATGTACTGATGGGACATATGATTTCGAGCACTATGTTACTACAGTGAACAAGGCCATGTTTTTGGCCACTCTTTTATGATGCATCTCTCAGATCCTCAATATGATGTTACACAATCCTACAGAAACCATATGGTATGAACTCCTACACACTGGCAAAGCATTTGGGCTTTAACACGAGTGCCTTGCATATTTTTTTTTTTTTTTTTTGCCAGTGCTTTGTGCTTCTGGAAAGGACTGCAAAGTTGATGTTGCATAAAGGGAGCAGTGGCTTAAGAGCAGCTTGGGGTGCAAAGGTGAGGTTAAAGATGACTTTAACATGCTTACACCACTATTCCTCATGTAGTTTCTGCCAGATCGTGCCCTTGATCTCTTCCTTTCCCTTATTCCCATGTTTTGCCATTGTTAAGCTGCTTCCGTGTGTTGTACTCCAGGTCTCAGGTGGGCCGTAGGACACAGGGAAGGGTGAAGTGCACAGTGCACTCCTGCAAAGTAGGTGTCTGTCCTGTGGAGACTTGTGATTCTGGGAGAAATGGACTCAGTGCCCCAAATGATTCCTCCTAGTGCTGTGTTCCCAGGAAGTTCAGCAATATCTAGAGTAGCCTGAAGGCTATTTTAAGGTATGCCAGCTGCTAAACACAGCAGGGATTCATCAGGGTAATAAAGGACATTTTAGACCAAGTCCTGACTTATACTCTCTGCAGAGAGTGTGATAAAAAGAAATTGCTAGGAAAGCTCTGCTCAATCTGAGAATGCACCTGTTTTGGGATAAGCCTTCCAGGGCTGAGTTTAGGCTGAGGACAGATTTACACTGGAGGAATGGTGACAATCAGCACTAATGCAAATAGACTGTGTAAGGGGAATAACAATAGTGGAAATATTTAAGGTTTAAAGATTGATATTTGCAACCTGACTGTCTGGAGGCTGGGCCTTATGGCGTTTGATTTTTTTTTTTTTTTTTTTTTCCTGCATTCATTAAACCAATAACTCATTTGCAGTCCCCATTAATGCAACTCAGCTGTGTGTGTTCTTTACCAAGAGGTGAAAGGAACCTCCTTACAGAGGCTGGTGGGTGAAATGGTGTCTGTATGACTGCGCCGTCAGTCTGATCACAGCATAATGTACTGTCATACCCTGCTTCTTCACCTCTCCCACCGGAGTGAGTAAAAAGTAAAGAGAGGATTGAATGTTAGAGGGAAAATCACTCAGCTCTGTGCTTTCACGTGTGATTCTGAACCTGGGGGTTTTGAAACAGCATTAACTGGGTATAAATTGAAGCTGCAGGAAGCAGCAGATAAAAGCACACTGCCTTGTTATATGTACTGAAAGAAAGATGCAGAGCAACTTAGAGAAAGGTGACGCTATCGGCCCCTGCGACTTGTGCTGGCTGGCTCGGTGCAGGGCGCTGTCAGAAAACTATTCACCTTGCGTGGTCTGCACGCTGCCGGTACATGCACGGGGCTGCCCCTTGTGCTCTCAGGAAACGCGACACGGCCGTACGACTGCCGGGAGGGGCAGCCGCGTCAGGGCCCCTCAGGGCCGCG